AATATTTTAATTTACTTAAACAAATTTATTCAACATTTTCTCCAAGTTATCCTTGAAACTTTCAAGGATAATTTGGATCCGTGATAATTTTCATTCACTAAAGTTTCCTTTCACAATTTTCATCCTTTATAGTTTTATTCCTTACAATTTTCATCCCTTATAGTTGTCATCCCTCATAGTTTTTATCTGAAGTTTTCTTCTCTATAATTCTCATCCCCTACAGTTTTTTCCTCTACAATTTCATCCATTATACTGTAGTTTTATTCTTCATAATTTCATTTTTCAATTTTCAACCTTCACCTACAATTTTCTTTCTTAAAATACAATTGATCCATTCATAATTTGTCCAAAAGGTTCGATGCGAATATCAAAAAATAATTCCTCATATAGCCTAAATTTTTTGATCATTTAAACAATATTAATTAATTAACACAAATTTAATGTAGACTTACGGGTTTTTAAAAGTACTTTAAAATGCCATTAAAAATAATTTTAATTATTAAAAAGTATAGGAAATAATGTGGCTAATATTATTAATAATATATTAAGTTTATAAGTATTAAATTTATTTATATAGGCCTATATACTTTTTTAGATAAAAATGAATTTTTTAAAATTTTATTATAATATAATATCTATTCGAGTGAGTTCTTTTGGATTTTTCTTATACGATTTTATTCTTTAGCTATCCCAATATTGAAAACGTTTTTATTCATTTCATCTGTCCGTTCGATTGTCGGTCCTCATCGTTTCTCAAAAACTAAAAAAAAAAAAAAAACAATGATTTAATGGGTGGCGATACAGAGAGGATCACTCTCTAAATCACAAAATTTTATATAAATATATGTCATTATATAAATGAAAAAGGAAGAAAACGTTGACATTTTACGAATTTTATAATTAACTTAATTTTAACAATTTATTTTATTTATGTTATCGNATTGTTTGTAATAATCATCTCTTTCTCTGTCAAAACAATTAATTGGTAAATATTTCTTTTCTCAATTGTCCTTAGTTTTAATTTCTTACAAATTTTCATTCCTAATTTTCATTCCGTACACCATTTATTTCGTTCAGTTTTCATCTCTTACAGCTTTTATTCCTTATAGTTCTCACCTCATATAATTTTCAGTCCTTACAATTTCATCCACTATAAGTTTCTTCACTTGTAATTCTCATCTCTTACAATTTTATTCTCTTACAGTTTTTATTCTTATAGTTCCCATGCCTTATACAAGTCGTCCATTACCGTTTTCATCACTTACAGCTTTCATTCCTAATATTTCCAAATATTTTTCGAACGTTTCCAATTTCCTATCAAGGCATTTCTCCAAGTCATTTGAATTTTACAATAAAAAGGAAATTTTACAGGAATTTTCACTTTTGAAAGATGGAAAAATCGTCGACTAATAAAAGAGCATTGAAAATAATTATTTTATCAAACAACCAAATCCATTTAGTCTTTAGAAAATTCTAAGATAAAAAGAAAGAAAGAAAAAAAAAAATATTCTGTCCACTAGCCATTTACGTNTAATAATTAAATGTCTATATTAAATAAAAACATTAAAGAATTATTTTTAAAAAAATAGAAATTTTGTCTTTTAATAAGTAATTTTTGAATGAAAAAATTATTTATTAACCTATTCTAACATTCTTCGTTTAAATTATGACGAAAAAATATATTTTTTTATTCACGAAATTCTTAAATAATTTTAATCAAAGCTGAAAAATAGAATCAAATTGTTAAAAAAAACGAAAATAAAATTAATTACGTTTAAGCAAAAATGTTAGAAAATTTAAAATATTTTCAAATTAATTATATTTGAACTTAATTAACGTTTATAGCCAATTTTTTTTATTTTTCTATTCCATTTTTTAAAAATAAATTTAAAATTTATATGAATAAAAATAAAAAATTGTTTGATAAATTTTTTATTGTAATTTTATTATTTATTAATTAGATTTTTTTGTAATTTTTATTAAAATTTCTTTTATATAAAAAATTTCCATTTGCTATTTTTTTAGACTGGAAATTCAACAACCGAGCGCATGCATATTTATCATTTTCTTCAATTTCCATGCTTCTAGTATTGGAAGGGGGCCGAAGACATTAAACTATGCTAGAGAGAACTTTAGTAAACTCTTATTTCCTCACTCCCAATACTGAATATAAAATAGTATCCCCGAGAAGCAATAAACATGGAGAGAGAATTTATTTTCGACATCGAACATGGTCGATGTGCATCACTAAACAGTGAAATATATACTATTTTTATTTGTTGTATATTTATATAGGCCTATATATATAGATATAAAATAAGCAGGGTTTTTTTTTATTAATTTAAGTAGTTTTAATAAACTTACTTTATTAATTATTATTTTTTTTTATTAAATTGTACAGTACTTATAAAAACACGTGTAGATTTTCTTTCCGATTTAAAGTAATTTAAAACAGGAATAAAATGATATTTTTTCGCGTCAGACAATGGAAAATAATGGTTTATTATTGTTTGACTTTACTGCTGTTTTATTTACATAGGGAAATCTGTTGAATCTGCTCGTAAAAACGTACCATTTGTGCATTGTTTAATTGATAGGAGGTGTTTTTTTAGAAAGTGACGTTTAGTTCCAATTTCGTCTCCTAGGAGTCGTGGATAGGAAGCGGTATAGCCGTATCAAACAAAGCCTGGTGGAGCGCCGAGTGAACAGTCGCGTTGTGTGCTCCACCCACGGTACACGGCAGTCGTCTGTACGAGTTCTGTACGTTTGAGAGTGCGAACACTTAGCCTTCGGCACGGAAGTGGGTGTTACTGAATCGAATATGGCAACTGCATATCTTTACGATTTTCGCGAAAGAAGACTAAGAATGATGGAATTTCAGTGAAAGTGTTTTAAAGGACATCGACGTTAGCCATGGACCATTCAGTTAAGGCAATCAACACACACCGTAAAGTAGCATTCAGCCGGCTATTTAATCGACTCAATTTCGAAAATGATGAACTGGAAGCACTGTTTCATAGATACATCTTCAGGCTTCAACAGTACTCGATCATATGTGTACTTGGATTATTTGTATTGTTAACGGCTGCATTGTCCGTCTTGCATGCTATATACGATGGTTTTGCAACGGTTCCCACCTTATACTATATGACATCGAGTGTTGCTCTGTTAGCATTGGCATGTTTCAGTCACACGCGTTACATACGAGACCATCACTTACTAATATTATGCTACGTCATCTTAATCTTTTTTATGACCTTTTGTTGCTTTGTTCTGCCCGTCGATGTTGGATTAGGTGGTTCCTGGAGCGCCAGAATTTGGTCGGGATCGCACAGTGCTTCGGATGGAGTTTGGGAGATCGTCTTTGTCTTGTTTCTAAGTTATTGTATGTTGCCCGTCCCTCGAGGTATAACTGTTATCATGGGCATAATACTACCGATTATACACACCGCTGTGGCTGCGATATTTGCTAGAGAATTTCCAAATTTTTTATGGAATCAGGTAAGTTGAAGTTCATTGACCGTTTGCATGTGTTAGATGTTTGTTGCTCATTTTTTATTTTTTTCTGTTGTTTTCGTCGTCTTTCTATACTCGACTGAATTGTTTCTGTATGAGTAACGTATAATTTGGCACACGTTTATATAGATAAAAAGAAGCGACTTTAAGTCGAGTGACAACTCGAAAGGTTTGATTACATTCCTCCCGATAATAGATATTTTTGCCCGTGTTATACGCTTTAATTATCTATCCTCTGATATAGGTATTTTTGCGTGTGTAACAAGTCTTAATTATATATCCTCTGATCATATATTCCTATATAACTAATCTTGATTGCTTATCTCTAACATGGGCAGTTTTAATAATACATCTTGATGAAGACCCCGATATAAGCATTTTTGCATATTAGCCTTTATTATATGCTCCTTTTTATTACCTATCACATAATATGCTATATGCAAAAATGCTTATATAAATGCCGATTTCCATACAGAAAGCCTTTATAGCCTACTTCCCGATCTACGTTTATTCTAGCCTATATAGCGAAACTTTTATGCCTCCTAACATAGGCATTTTTAATTATATAATAGTCTTGATATAGATATAAGGCACCATTTTAGGACCAAAATAAGCAAAATTAATAGAAGAAAATTCAATTTGTTTCAGTTTTGTATAGAAAAATTTACTAATAATTCCTTATAAAGTGACGTCTGAAGGTCATTTTAACGAGTCTATAACAATAGAAAGTGTAAGAGAAGTATAGAAAAATACTATTTACAAGTCATCATGATTGAATAATTACGAGAAAAAGAAAGAAAGAAAGAATATTTTAAAACGATGTAGTCGATATTAGTGAATATTTAAATAATGAAAGCATTCGGTCAATTACGTAAATAAATTTTTAAAATAATAAATTATTTGATGGTTATAATGAATTGATTCTGTACTTTGTAGCGTACAGGCAATATCGATACATGCAAACATGAAAATCTAGTAGAGAAATTTGCAAATTTTAATAGTTTTAAAAATTGCTAATTATTGTTGAAGGTAATTAGCGAATGTACACTTTATATATACATACCTACATATACGAGACACGCAAAATTGATTTTAGAATAAAGTATTAAGTTTGTATGTAGGGAGAAAAAGTTGCAAAAAACAGATGAAGTAATCGATATCTGTGATAAATTTTTGTTTAGAAGATGAGAAAAAGAAGTACGTCAGTCTGTTCAGACGTCCGACAAACAAAAATGTTTTTCTTATGATTCATATAGATTCATATCTTTATCCTAAGCTTCGATACAAACTGCATCGAGTGCAATGTTAAGAATCCTTGTAAAAACAATTGATATAGAGGATAAGAATATTTGTAACTCTTTTTATCTAGTGAATAATACATCCGTTAGATATTATAATTATTTCAATAACGAATAGACGATCCGTTCGTTATTCTATTTTATGTAACGTATACATTACCCTTTCGTTATACTTAACATTTAATTATACAAGTAAACTAACTCTATTATTCTAAATAATTAAGTATTCTAATGGATAAAATTGCCAGTTATATATACTTTTTTTTCTGATAGATTATTCATTGAATAGTTTAACGAATAAACTATGCTTTCAATATTTTATATAAAGCTGGATATTCTATTTTACTAGCGAATAAACTATTCACTGAATACAACGAACTAAACAATTCGTTAGATATTCTAACAATTATATCTATAAAAAATTTCCATTTGCTATTTTTTTAGACTGGAAATTCAACAACCGAGCGCATGTTTATTTATCATTTTCTTCAATTTCCATGCTTCTAGTATTGGAAGGGGGCCGAAGACATTAAACTATGCTAGAGAGAACTTTAGTAAACTCTTATTTCCTCACTCCCAATACTGAATATAAAATAGTATCCCCGAGAAGCAATAAACATGGAGAGAGAATTTATTTTCGACATCGAACATGGTCGATGTGCATCACTAAACAGTGAAATATATACTATTTTTATTTGTTGTATATTTATATAGGCCTATATATATAGATATAAAATAAGCAGGGTTTTTTTTTATTAATTTAAGTAATTTTAATAAACTTACTTTATTAATTATTATTTTTTTTTATTAAATTGTACAGTACTTATAAAAACACGTGTAGATTTTCTTTCCGATTTAAAGTAATTTAAAACAGGAATAAAATGATATTTTTTCGCGTCAGACAATGGAAAATAATGGTTTATTATTGTTTGACTTTACTGCTGTTTTATTTACATAGGGAAATCTGTTGAATCTGCTCGTAAAAACGTACCATTTGTGCATTGTTTAATTGATAGGAGGTGTTTTTTTAGAAAGTGACGTTTAGTTCCAATTTCGTCTCCTAGGAGTCGTGGATAGGAAGCGGTATAGCCGTATCAAACAAAGCCTGGTGGAGCGCCGAGTGAACAGTCGCGTTGTGTGCTCCACCCACGGTACACGGCAGTCGTCTGTACGAGTTCTGTACGTTTGAGAGTGCGAACACTTAGCCTTCGGCACGGAAGTGGGTGTTACTGAATCGAATATGGCAACTGCATATCTTTACGATTTTCGCGAAAGAAGACTAAGAATGATGGAATTTCAGTGAAAGTGTTTTAAAGGACATCGACGTTAGCCATGGACCATTCAGTTAAGGCAATCAACACACACCGTAAAGTAGCATTCAGCCGGCTATTTAATCGACTCAATTTCGAAAATGATGAACTGGAAGCACTGTTTCATAGATACATCTTCAGGCTTCAACAGTACTCGATCATATGTGTACTTGGATTATTTGTATTGTTAACGGCTGCATTGTCCGTCTTGCATGCTATATACGATGGTTTTGCAACGGTTCCCACCTTATACTATATGACATCGAGTGTTGCTTTGTTAGCATTGGCATGTTTCAGTCACACGCGTTACATACGAGACCATCACTTACTAATATTATGCTACGTCATCTTAATCTTTTTTATGACCTTTTGTTGCTTTGTTCTGCCCGTCGATGTTGGATTAGGTGGTTCCTGGAGCGCCAGAATTTGGTCGGGATCGCACAGTGCTTCGGATGGAGTTTGGGAGATCGTCTTTGTCTTGTTTCTAAGTTATTGTATGAATTATCTCGTTATTTAAACTGGTCGAAAATACCATAAATTTAATAAATGACTCCGTTATAACACAGAAGCGTTGAATATATTTTAAAGTTTTAAAAGAAAATCTCTGATAAATTTACTGGATTTTTGTCGAGTGTAAAATGGGGAAAATTAAGAATTTTAGGACCCAGAGTAACTAGTGTAAGCTTAACAGGATTACAATTAAAACATTTCGTGTGTTACGTATTTAAGTGTTGTAAAACGAGAAATTCCCTTCCTCTCTTAAGGATCTATCGAGTTTTCCATTAAGGATAATAAAAGATAATTATTTGAATCAAGTCGTAACATAATATAAAATACCATTCATTGATATACTCTTGTTTAATTTCCACATTTTCATAATTATGTTAAACAACGCCACATTAAATACCTCCAGTCCTGTGTCGTGTGTGGTAAATCTATTTATAACGTCGCTGGATATTATTTTAAACATTGCTTAAAATTTCCTATTTATCAACCGTTAAATAAATATTTTAAAAGAATTGAAGAGTAAAAATAAGTA